AACATAAGTTATTTGAAGTTTAGAGTAGGAGTTATCGTGACCTTGAGTACCTTAACTTCGCGATATTTGCGTACAGCTGACTGTCCAGTTGACATGAGTATGACGAACAAAAATCGCTAATGTTCAGGATTTAAGTTTTAACGCAGCCTTATTCTTTCATCAGAAGAAATCGTGAATAGTAGTGCACAATTACAAGGCTGTCTTGTAATAGCCACCTTGTCGGACAACAGGAAAGGCATGTTCTTTCGGTAATACCGTGTTAATTGGATTGCGACCATCAGTTAATTCGGGGAAATCACTCTACTCAGTATGAGTTCTGTCTGCAATTTACCACTCACGAAGCCGAGGACAAATAGGGTTGACTCGTTCAGTTTTGGTTCCCTGTGTTCTAACTGCCTACCGCTTCGGTGCACCTAACCGCAAACAATTCCATCTTCAAATGCGTCATTTGAAGAACAAAGCTGATATGTTCTCTAACGAACCGTTTTTTTTTAACTGAAGACCTGCCCTCATTCAGGGAGCATATCAATTTCTTCTGAACATACTGCTGTAGGTTGCGTAATCGCCATAGCAACTGCCATGCTTCTGAATTTGGCGGTTCGCGATCGATCTATAGAGGCTCACCAGAGTACATGCAGGGTTTTTTCTTCAACTGGGTTCTTTTCAGCTAACTATGCTGCGATAACGACTGAGCTAAGATTCGGTGTTTCCTGATCTAGTTAGATGAACATTTCACCGATGAAGGATCTACAAATATAATATAGCAGAGTATGTTGAAACATCGAGGATACACCGATGAAAAGTAGATATGTAAGAGGAAATGTGAGAATCATGAAGTGATATAAGAGCAACCCCAGTCTTGGTTGCTTACAGAATTATATCATTAACCATTGCACAAAATCCCAATGTCGCAGGTTACCAATGTTGTCCTTGAGACGTGTTAAATTGTAAGTCACACTTAATCTAAATGCTTTTCGTTGATGGTTCAAGTGGGTTTCATTTTGCACGCGAAATTAGATAGAATCTCATTTTCCCCTCAAATTTCGAGTGCAATTTGGTTTCAAGTAGAACATAAGGTTGACAGAACCTCGGGGACTACACCTACCTTTTGAGTCCCAAGAAGGACGAAACCGGTTGTGGGCTGTCGAATTTTCAGCAACCTTACGAGTAGTGCATTACGAATATGAACGTATTCAACGTTTAAAAACGTGTTCATGCTCCTCGCTGAGCGTGATAATTGACATCAGTTAGTCTATATAACATTTTTGCATTTTAAAATTTGCAGTGGTAGGCAACACTGACTTTGGTTGGTTTCCCACAATAGTTAGTAGTTGAGATTATTTTTGTGAACTGTATTAGGCACAAAAGGTAAAGTGTTCACGTTTAGTTACACAACCGAAACTTACAAAATGAATCAAAAGCAGTGAATGTGAAGCTTTTATTATTCGTCAAACAGTTGACTGAGGGTCGCACACCCACACACAGTCGTGGCTATCAACGTATACCAATCCCACTGTCAGCAGCCAAATCCGAGTCGGGATTATCTCCGATTTCATGCAAAAAGTACATGAACGTCCCTCAACAGCCTTGCAACCTGATTCAACAATATCAAAATTTCTTCAAGAACAATGGTTTGTTCATAGAGCTGACGATCACGACGCAATTAGAATCATCCCAAAGCTAATATTGTGGGCCGATCATGACCTCAGCGCCTCACGGCGGATTAGTAAACGGATTAAAATTAATCTTTTATAGCTGTCACTTGTTGTCATGGCCTCCGAAACTGGTCCGCATATACACACTGACAGTTGGTGAATCATGGTCCCGAATTTTTTGCGGTGACTTACCTTGGGAAAACAACGCTCAAGAAGAGCTTGGACGACCAAACTAGCGTCCAGGTCAGCACATGTCACTTTATACACATTCGATTTTTGAAAAAAAGCTTGGTCAATTCATTCTGGAATAGTGATAAAAATTTACAGAAATTTACTTATTGTGGACTACCATGATATTTGCATTTTTTTAGCAGTGTACCAACACTATACAGTCAATACTATCTTCAAAAAAAGCAGAACACTCGTTGGTGATTCTCGCTAGCAGGCTACAACGTTTACTACACTTTAGCATACCTACCACCAACCGGTCTAACCTTGTTATCATCATTACCTTGAATATGGTCCGAGGCACATACAATGCAAACGAAGAGACTTGGTCCTGGGTGGGTAAGTGCTGTACCAACTAAGTTACCGTGGACGCTGCCCACACATATGTACTTGAAATCACACGGACTCTAAATGTTGGTAGCGAACTACTTGCTTTATCCCACTAACATATCTGGATCAGAAAACACCCCTAAAACATGCATCTCCAGAGTAAAATGATAGTTCAGTTTGAGATACCGGTAGATCTCTTGACAATGAAGCGATGCTGGTCGATTTCATACCCTAACTAGTCCACTGACCCAGTCCATCTTATCCCAGCCGGGAAGTAAGTATTTGCCACATTTGTCTCATATATTACTTCATTAGTAGACTTAGACGTTTGTCAGTACAACAGGAAATAACATGACTGAAAGAAGCCTTGCTAGCTCGCTTGGAAATAAAATTCCTGTTTCGTATCGTCCGAAACCAACTGTGCTATCCACAGGGTGAAATAAAAAAACCTGTTGTTCTCTTCAAAACTAAGGACGTCTTAGTCGGACAACCTAAACACCCAAGTACTTGCTTTAGCGTAGGTTTTCCAGAAATCCCGATGCTGAGCTAGCTGTATTTTAAGATGGGAGGGCTTGATGCGACTGACAAGGAACCGATTCATAGCTATCCCTTCGGCCCTGCGGCTATTCATTTTACAAAAAGTAATCATTCATTCAAACCAACTGCCTCTCCCCCACCCCTCATTGACCGATAAATCGCCTCGTTCAAGTGTGGAAAAAATAATTCACAGAGCAGACACCGCTTTGGTTAAACAGTTCTTCTCAAAAGAATCTCTCATAGGTGTTGTGGTCCGGTCAAGTTGCCGTGGTAATTACAATTGGTTTAAGTGAAATATTCGCCAAATTAGACAGATTTTCATGCAAATGAGGCTGTGCTATCTGAAATCGACTTGCCAATAAGCATAGTGTTGTCTGGTCAAATAGACGCAAAAACCGCGCATAAATTTGCTGCGAGTGTGAAACAAACCGCCATGTGTGTTGCTAGCTCACGACAAACTCTTTTTGACGGAAGACGAATTTGCTGAATTTGACAGCGCATAAAAAATGGACTAACAATTTGAATTGATCACAAATCGTGCAAGCCAAATAAATCAAGGAAAAACAATATCACTTACGGCTGCAGTCTGCAAAACGAGGGTTTGAAGCATACTTACATCTATCAAATTCTTAAATTTTCACGCTCAGCTGCGTTTCTCAGTTGTTTATACCAACAGAAATTCCAGAATTTTTTGTCTGCTGATAGGACTACAGTACTCACAGTTTTTTGGCTACTGTTCTCTATTTTCACCTAGAAACCATACTTTTCCTAAGATAGAATAGCCTGCCATTTTAGGAATATACTTGGATAAGATTGCTGAGGTGACTCAACATCAATCTTGGAAGTCTTGAGATAGACTTGACGATGATTGCATGCCACGATAAAGTACCATATGAGATGAAAACCCTTCGGGTTTCGTGCCACCCTTGAGATAGCTCATCCTGCGAATTCGACGGATGCGATTCAGAATCGAGCAAAATTAAACGATACGAAAAATCACGATATTGATAACATTGTAGATACTAATTAGTTTTATAAGGCTTAGAACTGTTCGATAACGTCTGACAAATAACTATTCCTGGAATTAAATATAGAGGTTGGGTTGCAATGATCGAGAAAGCTGTGGTTTTTCTAAATTTATTCTTCCGCTATTGTTCTTCCGATGACAAGATGAAAATATAATGCTGAGTATCAGCAGACTTCAGAGGGCCAAATTAGTGTGTAAACACACAAGGTATGGAAGAAAGCAATGCCTGAGAGTAGACTCCGCCCTCCCCGCGACTATAGGTGGGGTGCTTTACTAATTGACCTAGCTAGGATGTGTGTTCTTTTTCACGGTCTTGCTGGAACTTTATGGGTGATTTGCCATTCATCTGACGTGCACAATAACACTCGGTGTCTGTCGGTGTCACTAGTGAGCAAGACGCTGATGCCATCCGAATTTGTCATTGTGTAAATTTTCACCTGAGATTTCGTCCTCTCAATGAAAGTGTAAGGTCGAGAAGCAGTGTGCAGCTGTTTAATCCTTATTTGGAGTAATCAGCAGTGCTTGTCTCACGAAACTCCAGGATGTTTTGAACCAGCGACCTTCCAGCACAACCGTTTGGCTTCGAGCGACTGAACAGCAGTGTGACTAGCTTTCACTTAGACAAGATACAGTGTTGCTCATCCCTCAGTCACATATTTCACATCATGTAGTCACGTAATGACTGACTCGTTGAGTGGCGACTACTTAGATGGAAGTTTCATTCATTTTGTTAAGTTATTCTTCCTCTGACCATATTATAGATTGACGGTAGTGTGACGAGACTTGGTAATTCTCGTTTGAGATTTCCTCCTGCCAGTGTAAATCACCGGGAATTGCAGGGGATTCTATGTATAGTACACAAAAATGAGCACAACTCCGTGCTTGGCTGTGTACTCGAACCACCTACCTCTATTGGATGGGATTCGAGTCCAGCACCGTAACTCTCTTTTCATAGTATGCAAAGTTTCTTCCTAATTTTTAGCAACATAATATTGTTTTATGATAGTTGGCAGATCTGTTATGATATTTCACCCCTTACAGTCTATTCGACAAAATGCAATGATTCACATCAAGCAATTTTTCACCAAGTGTCTGGTGATGCTCCATTAGGTGATTCACGCGGACTGTTTTGCACAAGCGCTCAGCTCGCTGACCTTTGATTCATCACTCACCTTTAATCCCCATCTCGAGTGGAATAGTTGCATAAGTTTTTTGCGATAAAATCACTCGAGTTTCTCCCTGTGTGTTTGTGCGTGTGGGGACGCTAAAAGGTGTGTTCGAAAGGTGGGTGAAGACCAGTTAAACTGGAAAGGCAGACTCGACATATGGTATTCGAGGATCAACCAACCAATTACCCCTTTGTGGATGCCTTTTGTCACGCTTCCGTAGATTTCAATCTTGACGGCTATCTTAGAGTTTTTCCGAATTCTGTTGAAGTGTGAGACCCTGCGAGTCATCTTAAGAGTCGGACTGGTCTCAAGAGAGGGATGAAAACTAACCAACATGCAGACAAAAATGACTCATCACTTTTGTTTCTTCTCTTAAGACGACGAATTAAACTCATCATGTTAAGAGGATGTGCCTTTTGACCAAAATAACTCTGTCCGTCATTGTTACATCGTCGTCCAGTGTAGTGTAAGCAAAAACGTGGCAGGCGAACTCACCTACACTACTGCTGAAGATAAAGTAGTCAGCTAATAACCAGAGCACGTTTGATCATTAGAGGTGTAAAAGCGGAAATCCTTAACTGCGCTCCGGAGAAACTGATATGTAAAGTAATCAAAAATTCGGGTTATGTTAGTTTTTATCTGATGATGAACACAGAAGATACCGGCGATATAAAAATCAAGGAGCAAAGTATAAGCACTTAATACATTATTGAATTTGGGGTTGACACAAAAAATTGGAAGTTATCAGTGTCTTTTGCAAACACAGAGATACTCCGTTTTTCGCTGCTTCACGCTATACGGACAATCTGAGGCGCTTATTGACTGAAAGGGCTTCGAGTTTCATCGGTAACATCTAAAGCTGTGGTTAATCATCGGGGGATTTAGAACTAAGTTTGAAGCCTTGTTAACTTTCTCTATTTTTACAACCAAGGGAACCATGCGATAAAATTCGTGTTGTGTCAGTCACCTGATGATTAGAGCATCTACTGGTAACCCGGAGTGATCCTGGATAAATACTTCGGTTATGTAAATTATCCAAGATTTACTTTAGGGATATTGTCTTTCAGGGATATTTTGGGTATGTTCATTCCTTTTCAGCAGACAGCTCACAATAGCAAACAGTATAATGAACGTCAGTAAGTAACGTTCGTTTTCTTCGTCTAAATGAGAATCTTCGTCTCCGACGTGTATTCTCCAGTTCCTCAGTATATTACTCTCTACCAGCACTTCTGTAACTGGGACGCCAGAGTTGCCGTGCTGTATCAGTGTAACGATGTTCCCATTGTTACGCGAGCATTGTCTACAGCTAAGGCCACGGTGTTGAGCATGGCTGAAAACGACCTTAGCAGCTAGCGTGTGACGCATGAATAGGCAAGCCACATACACGCGTCATTAAACGTTGAGCACCCGGATTATTGACGCTCGTGTCTCTCACTGCGGTCGGTCACAAGCCCAACTGGTGCCAATTCCGTCAGACACGGGAGAATGCCTCCGGGCAATCTGTTCAGAAGTCTGTTCCCCACTGTCTAGTGCCACTTGCCCACCACACTTGTTTGTGTATATATTCACCCTGGCAACGGGACCACCCGCTTCCGAAATGTGTGGCCTGGTGTTTATGAGATAAACAAGCAATTTGTGCTCAGTCAAACAAGGAAACAGTTGTGAGCATGGCAACTGCGAAGAATGGATGTGTGGGAATGCTTGTCTGAGAAACTTGAGTTTAATGCCACATGGGAGTTGCCCTCGCAACAGTCATGTTAGACCTAGATCGTAGCAGTTTTTCTATTCGGGTTATGGAAAAAATTAAACATGCATTTCTGCGCATGACAAAAAGATAAAATGCAAACGAGCTCTCTAAACTTATATCAAAGTCAAACCAGGATATTTTCTATATACTTACTGGCCAGTGTTATGCAGTAATTTTTATTCGTAGACCTCATTTTTTGTTGGTGGTGAGAGTTCTGGGAACCGTACAAGGCTGAAACAAAGCCGCCACCCCCTAGCTCTCTGTCATGGCGAACGTGCTAACATTAGTAGCCTCATGGAGCCGAGCAACTTACTGAAACTCAGGGCGTCTGCATGAGCAGGATCAAAATTACGGGGTAAACAAATGCTATCATGCTGTATCAGTCGCGAAGCATCAAGGGGTAGTTTCAGCTAGGTTTGTTCTAACCTTTAGAAGTAAAACTATGTACTTAATACACCACAACCGAAATTGTTTGTCTGTGGCAACTTCTGGCGAGTAGGGTTGTATCAAAGCACGCGAGCAAGGTGGGGTATTATACTGACACGTAAAGGAATTGACAGAAGGCACTACTGCTTTACTATTTAGCAGTGCTCCACAGCTCACTGCAACCCCATCATGCATGGGTCGCTTGATGGCTGTCAACAGCCTCTGCCTGTATGCCAACCGTTTTTATTCTTTTTGAGGCGCAGTAGCACATCCAAACGCTTGTGTTATCTGAACTATGCCCACGGGTCCGATAGTCCCTTCTAACCGTAAATCCTTGTTCCTTGCCCCGTTCACGTCTTGCACGCGTTGCGTTAGTTGACCTATCGATTACTCAGTCAATATGTATATGATGTTCACGACTGAACAAGTTCGCCCCACTAAACCTTTTTGTCCCCTTCACATGATAGTTGGTTTCCCCACTGCTTCTGTACTCTCATGGTAAGTGTAGTTAAGAGTAGAAGAAAATGTCGTTACTCCTGGCGAACCGTGTCTGAACAACTCCGTGGCATGTATCATCTATTCAAATCTCCAGATGAGCGAAGAATGACCTATTGTTTGATGCTAGGCCGGTATTCTATTTTTCTCTACTCACGTTTGTAGAAAAATCACCAGCGTAACTTCAAGCCTTGGGCTATTAGCGGGTATGATGTACTGAGTCACTTTAAGGTATAATAGGTTAGTAGAGAGTCGGTTTGGAGATTAACCAATCCATCATGGCTCAATACAAGTTTCCCATTATAATGCCTTTCCACCTTTGCAAACTATGGCCAGGCTGTCCACTGCGCAGTCGTTGGAGGGATCGATCCGGGTAAAACAAACCTTCAGGATCACATCTTGGTGCCACAGTGTCCGAAGTCCTTAAGGAAGGTCACAACTCGTGGTGATTATCACTAGTTCTACGTGAGACAACAACAGAGCACTTGGAAGCTTTCGTGTCAAAAGCTTCCCAGTGCTCAGTAATAAATACACCGCTTGTTTACCAAACCTCTCTGAAACGAAAGGTCCATGTTACTTTGAATTTTCCTCGCACACGAGCGAACCAGCCTCATCCTGTAAAGTATTACTCTGCACTTCAAACTATTCTCATTGTTTGCCGTTGCAGAGTTGAACTGTGTCCAATGTGTGACTGCTCAGGATGCACCGATTTCGCAGCACCCTGTATAAGCGCTCCTTCATCTTCTGGTGTGTCTGTCAGAGCGAAATTTCACTGGAACATAACCCTAAACCAGATAAGATATATCAGGTGAGGTTAAATGTCCGCGGTGACTGAAAATATTATTGGGAACACACTGCAAGCACTGTTGTTCCTCAAGTAGGCGAACTACTCATTGTGCGGCACAATCTACGCAGAGGAAGAAATCTTATGGATTTGTCACAGTGAAGAGCATAAAAAAGGAAACCTCCGGCAGATCTGCCCATTTGAAGTTTCTCCGCCACTCCCAAAATATAAGTGGTGACAGCCTTTCATTGCGAATCTGTCGCTGGAGAAGCCTGTGCAGACCAGTTTACCTACTATGTACCTGTTGGTGCAGATGGATAGCGTCATAGCATAAATAGGTATCATTTTGGTACGTAGTTGACCAGCTATCCGTTATCACGCCATGGGTTACTCAACTATCCCGACAGAGTATTTGGGTTCCAATCTCGTACGCAATTGTGCTGAGGCTTCACGATTAGATTGAAACAGTAAGTAGCACTGTCACTTTTTTTTCAATACCAAATGACAGTCCTAAAGTAAGGAATTGAAAGTTCATAATCTGACATTTGCGGTGGTTTATTCGGACACACGGAGCAAAAAACCTCACATAGTTTTAACTGCATCTCCTCATGAGCTAAGGGTTGGACTGGTTTCCAGCGATTTTAAGGAGTTTTTGCAGGTCGAAGAAAGCAACCATCTGGATTAATTCATTGGGCTCCCGATCCTAACATAACCAGTAAGCGACTATAATGTGCACTTTGTCTATCTTCCACGGAAAAACCCAGTGTCCTGACTAAACTACTTGCACTGTGCTAAGAGTTTTCCTGATTGGACGCGAGTGCCACACCTCTTTGAAATTTTATAATCATACTCTTGCATGCATACTAAATTAGTTTCGATGGCAGATGAATCTTTCGACTATGATGTTCTCAATCAACTAAATTTGCTGCGTCATAAAAACGAGGGATTCAGGTTTGTCTCGTTTAAGCAAAATTGGTTATGCAGATGAGTGTGTAAGTCGAATTTCATGTAATTTGGGTTCAAGTAGAACATAAGGTTGACGGAAACTCGGGGACTGCGCCTAGTTGATGAGCCCGAACTGGAAGAGTGAAACTCATCATGGGCTGTCGAGCAGTTTTCGGCTGCCTTATGAGTAGTGTGTTACGCCTATACGAATTTATCAAGTTAAGACGCTGCTGGAGAGAGTCAGACAAGGAGAAAGTCTATGCTATTCATAGAAAGTCCTCAAAACGGAAACGGATTTCCTGGTAAAGAGGGAAACTACCACAGTGCCAAATCTCTTCACCTCGAGCTAAACCTTGACTATTCTAGCTAATTTACAGTGAAGGGAAACGCCTCGTTCGAAGTTGTTTATCTTATCTTCCTAGCATAATTCATCAAAGAAATATGGCAAGTAGTATAAGAGGTCCAACAGAATCTTCATGAAGTCTGAAATGCCCGCTGTTCCCTCTTTGTAGTCTCGTACTGTCACCATTTTGTGCTGACAGATTAGTCAGTTGACATTATTCGTAGTTCTACGCACCGGTAGGTTGTCAGATGGTGTGCTGATAAGAATTCCTTCAAATCTCCGGACGTGCATCATTGGTCTAAATAAGGTGACGAGGAAAAACGACACGTTACACCATGTAAATATATCCGTTATCAGAAGCGTGTGTATATTTCAATGTGTCGACTCGAGACAAACGAGTTGCACAGGCGAAGGGATTCACATTGACAAACACGTTCCGTGCAAGGGACCAGGATGACAACTCTGACTTACCTCGTACATGCAGGACGAATGTAGTTTACCGCTGGAGTTTCGAGACAAATCAACTAACGGTTGCCACTATTAGTTTCCCCTATTGTATTTGAAACAAAATAAGACATGTTGTCATTTTCCATGCTTTATGCACTATTGCTGACCACATTTTGAGTAATTACAAGCCAGTTTCGAAGAGCATCCAGTCGTTCATCAGTTTGGTTTTAGCGAGAGACTAGACCGAATCCCAGCTCGATCTCTCATTCATGATATTGCTCAAATGAATGTGCTGCACGAAGGCCGTCTCATATTTCAGGTGGTACTGTAATATTCGTGATGACGTAGTATGGTTTCTTGAAGGAAACTGGTCATAAGTTTCCGGAACACTCTTCTACTGCCCGTGACCGGTTGCGCCCTTCTTGTGGTTCAACGAGTAGGTCCAGTCCCCGAGTTTCCGCGGTGGGGGGGAGGTTCACTTCTGCTCGCTCGACAACTTCAGCACTGCAAAGCAGGGCCAGTGTACGACACAAAATGGGGAAAGTACAGCGTCTTGAGAAGGCTACTGTTGCACGGTTCAGGTTGAGACGACGAAAATTGTCGTCTGCTTGTTCACGCTAAGATGGCGATTTTGCGATGCGTTGTTAAGTGCAAGTAGACTGTGACCTGCTGCAAAAAAGTGAAAAGATCCACATGGCTAATAGCTAATTTCTTAATTCTATGAGAAAGCATTAAAAACCACACAGGTGGCTGCGCTTCAAGCACTGAATTCCTTAACAGGACAGCGTTATTATGCCAGGTTTTTAGTGAAACTGATTCGAAAGGTCAAATGTCCCCCTATATCTATCAGAGGAGTTCTAGGTTGAGAGAAATAATAATAATGACAACACAATAATGGTTCACCTGTAACACTCTTTCGCTCCATGTCACTGCCATGTCACTCAAAGGAAGCACGAGGGCTAGGATAATGCCAGGTTGCCCAAGTCTAGACAGGACAAGTCGAGTTGCAGAAGTCGGATTCAAACCACAGACTTTCCGGCCAGCAAAATTTCGCGACCTAACCAATGAACCATCTTGCTGAGTGATACTACTCACCGGACATCAGTGAAGTTACACCAATACACCACGCCACGAATTTGTATACGCTGGCGAATTCAGTGAAGATAGGGCGAGGGTATTTTACGGTAGCAAGTTAATCTTTACTTCCCACTCGAAGTTCGTGGAGAACATTTCCACAGCCTCCAAGAGTGGTAAGTTTAAAGCAGAAACTTTGCAGATTTATGTAAGGTTCATCACAAAAACTCATCTTGAGAGGTCTGTTCGTTAGTTCATTCAAGATGACGAACATATCTGGTCACAAGGTGGTAACCATAACCTACAAACTGTAATTCTCCTGTATCTTCTAGTTCAGGAATCACTCAGTTCACCTATTTACCTATCTGGGAACCCATTTCCAAAACAGACGATACGTATCCTGTTCAGGTGGTTTAATATACTGAGGTTTAAAAGCGAAAAAACTAGCTGGAACGGAAGCTGAAGATATCGAAGTTAAAAAGACAATGGGCTTTAAACGAATATTAGGGTTTACTGTTGATCTCTTTTTTGGCAAGAGTCTCAACAGTAACTTTTTTAGGTGCCTGTGTGTACTTAGTTAGGATCCCTTTTTCCTCTTTTTTCTAATATTTTTAGGGGGTTAATTTTTTGGCGAGGCTTAGCTGGAAAAGTTCCCTTAGTTAAATGAGGCTATTTTCAATATGGTTTGGGAGATCTACGTTCTAACTGGCTTCGTTCTAGTCAAAGGCGAAAAACGCAATGTTTTTTCTTGTAGAAAATAAAGCTCGCAAAAGAAATGTCCGTTCCTACGAAGCCTTAATATGACATAAAACGCAGGCCGAACAGAAAGTCACCCGTTTATTTTGTACAGAATATCGTGTGCTCTGTTTGACATACCGCATTCTACCATAAATGAATGAAATATGTAGGTCTGTTTTCTGACGTCAAGAATTTTACGACTAACGGCGACACTACGTGTCCAAGATGTTACGTCTGCCAGTGTTGTGCCAAGGTTGTGCACGTCTTCACACACACGGTGGACATGAAATGTGATGATTCTTTCGTAGCATAAATCCTACTACCGTCCCCAGACCACCTGGCTCTCCCCACACCTTGTTTTCTTTTCGTCGGCACAGAACATGCAAAGGTGTTTTCAGTCTGATGAGGGTTTCACCCCCTTCTACTGCGGTTCCCTGACTGTCATCATTACGAAACCATGCCGATGTGAAATTTGGCTCCCTAGTTCAGTGATGACTAAGTGCTTTATTTTGTTCGTTGTGCATGACCTTCGGTTATTTCCAAAACTTATTGAGCTATCTAATTGATGGTCCATTTTATGTCCAAGCGACGTGTGTGATGCTCGACTCCACATTGGAGAGGGTGTAGACAGTCAGACCGCCGTAGCATGCCAGGTGCGGTTTATGACCTCGTCGCGCTCGTTATCTGTCATTCGAAAGTGCCCAAATATTGGCACATACCCACAATGTAGTGACGTACTACAAGCACCAGTGTCCAGTTTGCTTGCCAGTTTACCAATGCACTAATTTGGTAAAACTGCTGGCTGTGAATGCACCCGGAATTCGGAAGACCGTCCGATTGCATCCTTGCGATAGGGAATTATTCACGGGCTCGACAGCCTGCCCGAATGACCTCATTCACTCAAGCGCAAGACAGAATTCCCCTCCTTGTCAAGTTTGTCATAAGCTAGTCAAAGATATGTTGCATCTGGTGTGCGAAAAATGAGTGTATGCATGGTAAATTTATCCAAACTGTGCTTTACCAGGTCAGACAGCAGTGTGCACTATTTGGTAGGATGAAAACAACGTTTTAGTTGCATATCAGTTCGTGCGTTTGACCGAACCCATTCGGATGCCAAATAGAATCTTTCAGCTCCAAATGACTGAGAAGCAAGCTCTAAATATTTTTTCCTTGGTCTGGTCACTGGTATTGTGGAGCCAAAAGTGAAATGCAATGTAACGTTAACTGCTCTGACTGGTAAAGAGAAACCCATGAGTTTGATCCACCTCGTGACAGCCGAACATATACAGTCATTGCGTAAGTCACAAGCCACTCAGGCGGTGTAGTTGAGGAAACGGCTCTTTTTCGTGATCGTAGTTGTATGTTTCAATCGTTCTGTATAAACTCTAGATGAGCTGATCCAAATCAAGACATCAAGATTTATAGACAGTGTGCTATGCAAAGACTGTCAGCGATTTCGGTTTTGAGAGAGTTTGAATTTCCGACGGCAAGGTGAAGGACAGATTGGTCACAGCCACGAACAATACGGTACCAGTTTCAACCTGACAAGTAGTACTCACCAGGCGTATATGAAAATTCTAGCCACATGATACACATGTAGTTTTTCCTGGCGACAATAAATACCATAAACAACTGCGAGTGCGTCCACCGTTGAAGTAGCGGAAAGACTGCTCCGACTATTAAACCCTTATACCAACCCGAATGGGCTAGTGCTGCCCAGAAATTTCCCTCATTTTGCCCTTCGGTTCTCGCAAACCATAGCCCATCTAGAATACTCGAGATAATTCCCAGAAGGCCTGACAGGTGTATTCGCGAAGCGCATATGTGCACTGAACTGGGCTTAAATATTAGGCCCAAACCTGTATGAGGGCCTGTTCGAAAGGTACGCCGAAAGCCTAAATCGCCAATTTTCGTGTGAAGTGACGTGCACGCCCGTGTTAGGCGTCAAAGGCTGGTCTTAGGACATCTGTTTGACACAATCCGCCTTCCTTGAGTTTTGGTTCGAAAAGACCAGATTGTATGTGACATGGCCCAGCCTATTCACGCCACACAAAAAGAACGAGCTTTCCGAATCGTATGCCAAGAAATTGTGAACCCGTCATTTGCTGAATCCAATTATTTTGAGCATTTACGTGGTTTTCAGCTGTTATGCAAGATGGCGATGATCATCCAAATAGAACGGAGAAGAATTTTCGGCAATGTTACAAGGCTTTGGCTCGACTACGTAACGCTGATGGCAAATCTGATATTCCTTTATATTTTCGGATGAGCGGAGTTTGTGGCTTACATTTTTCAACAGGAGAATATCAACTATAATCTAAGAAGGGACGAAGCCCCGAGGTGTCAATTACTGTGTCAAACAGACAGTAGAAAACTCTGAGTAGTGTGAAAATAGTTGAAGAATCATGACGTGCCGGTAGCTGAATTGTTGTCAACACAAACCGGGTTCCAAGATGGGACTGACTAAATGGGTGATGTTGCCGAAACAGAACTAACAATTGTCTTCAGTGTGGCGGTCAGTCGGTCGCTGGAACAATGCTACCAACGTTAATAGTTCAGAGACTGTGGCCATCACCAGTAACCGACTAGAAGCTGGCGACGACATACCGTGATGTGCTAAAATAGGGTACCGTAGTCGTTTATACAAAAGAATCATCTTGCGATTACCAAGTAATTTTGAGGTTTTCATGAATAATACTACCCATAAGGTTGCCGAAAACTCTCTGACAACCCACAACCGGCTTCACCTTTCGTGAGGTTCATAAGGTAATCACAGTCCCCAAGTTTTCATCAACTCTATGTCCTACTTGAACCCAGGTTATGACAAATATACTCATTTGTACATCAATTTTGTTTTCATGAGATACTCCATTGAATCTCTCCTCTCTGGTATTTAGCAACCTTGTGAGTAGTTTCTTTTATGGAACTATATTGCGGCATCTCAAATATTGTACCGACTGAAACATGAGCCGGCCTTGTGCAGCACATTCATTTAAAGGATATCATAAACAAGAGGTCTAGTTAAATCTCCGGTGAAATACAAATTGATATGCAAATGAGTGTATCTGTCGAAATTTTGAGGTTTCTTTAAACGAGACAACAGCCCTTGCGAGGCCACCGAATAACTAAAGTACAAAGGTTTCACACAGAAGCACTTTGCCGTCTGAAAAGACAATGTTAGGGGCCAACCTAAACAGTAGAAAATGGTCTCTGAGGTTCTTAACTTCAATTGTACTGCCAAAGGTTTTAAGGCCTACAAAGCTCATTCTTGAATGTAAGTGTTATTAGAACTACACAGAGTACAAAAGTAGTTCTATTTTTCAAACATACTTATCTTCAATTTAACTGGTTAGATATATCAAATGGGGATGTTGAGTATTTCGGTGGAACCAAAGGGGATATCCACTGATCACTATTCCTCACTATTAGCACGTTCCATATGGGTAGCTCACTACTAGCCTAATAGACATTTTTCTGGTCTGACGTCTCCAGAATACCTGCTATCGGTTCATCAATCACCAGGCCATTCTTCTACGCGGGACGTTCTGATTTCTATTCTACCTAGACCGGTTCACCTTTCAGTCCGCACCAAAGTTCATGACATTCAGTAAGTAGCCAGCCTGACACAAACCCACGGTGATTCAAAATAGCATTCGTCTCAATAACAGCACATGGTTGTGTCAGATCAGTGGAAAGAGCTATCACATTCGAAAGGAACATTATTCGCCGTCTGAAATCTGGCCATCCGTGGGTTGATTGCCTTGTTTTTACTCCATTTAGAGGCAGCTCTCGGTGATTATTCAACCTAATCCCACAGAACTTTCGTCACGCAGGGAATCCACAGTTGCCGAGCCAACAGCACAGACAGCTGAACATTTCTCCGAAGCAGGAAATTATTGCCTCTGGCATCCGGTTTCTCACACCCAATCTTGTTGCCAAGGCCATGTTGCTGGCACGCCTGACTCAATAGGGTGGGGTTGGAATTTGAGACTATGCTCACATGCTGTTCACGTGCCGGTGTGTCTGTGATGGAATGTTGGCGGATATGGCCGGCTTATTGGCTCAATCTAACGCAAACCGTCATGGCAACTAATCAGGAAAGCCGTGCCCCCTGTCATGCGCCACCTGTCAACAACAGTGGCACATGCGTACAGTGAGGATGTTGTGAATTGCCTGAAAAACTCAAACCGGCCCTTTTGATGTGCAAACTAACTGGAATGGCGACAATGGAATCCGGCATCGCAACAGAGGGTTTTATCATGTTCTGTAATCAACTGGGTTTTGAATGACGTTTGTCACCATCGTAAAATACCCTGGAACAATCGCTTGTAATCCAGTGAGTTGTTGTCTATACGGAATAGGCAGTAAACTGCTTCAACCACACCTCTAGATTACGATGAGTGAGCCTCAGCCGATACCTGATTAGGTCTTGTGAAATGTGGGTGAGTTAGAGTGATGAACAGCTCGCAGCCAGGGATGCTTACGTTATGACCCTCTGAATCGAAAAAGGGATCACATTATTTAACCATAATCATATCTAATTGCGATACAAAAGTGCATTGGATTGAAAGCTTTCTACAGAAGCATATATGTGTGTGGGAGGGAGCCTTTAAAATGGACCCTTTGACGGTGAGACCGTTCCATACCAAACAGTCTTGCGGTAGACCATAATGTTAGTTTCATTAACACATGCTAGTCAGTAACTTCTCACCTATAGGAGCATTCCTGTTGATTGGACCGCTCCTTTTTTGATGTTCAGTTAAGGGGTGTCAGGCAAACAATTACCAGTTAGTTGAATGACAGGCGTGTACGAGACCCAAAGTTGTAGATTTTCCTTGTGAATCTGAGATTTTTAGGCAGATGTGTGAGCTACAAGCCGTCTGTCAAAAAGTGTGAACGCATGTGTCTACAAAACATCTGTTTTTTCGCTCTTCAATGATGTGCACAGTCTAGGCAGTACGTGATAAATTTGAGCTGATAAACGTGGAGCGATTTTTGTGTGACCAGTCTGTGACACAGACACCACAACTTCTGCAGATGAATAGAATTCAGATTTCTATCACTGTTTACGGACAACTACGGACCGAATCAGCTTTTTTGGTAGGTAAACTTAACTGCAGAGGTCAAACTTTTCAAGCCGACTAATTAGGGTCTCCTTCCTATTATAGAAGGATATAACTTTGATCAGTACCAAGTGTATCTCAAACTAAATTCAAAAGATGGTTATCTTGAAAGACACGTGGAAATGGGTCAAACAGATGGGTTGGCTAGAAATTTTTATCCATATATATCTGGCACGACTTTGCGCAGAAAGTGGTCAAATACGGAGAACCCAGAGCTCTAGTTTAATCCAGACGAGTACGTGTTTGTTTTCAGATAGAAGACTATTTATGTGGCTGCTTACAAAATGATGCATTGTCGTGTTACTGTGAAGAACAGGGTCCAAGTCCGGAGATCTGTCCGGTGTGTGAAGCCACACCAATGTTTTTGGGATATAACCGGAAGTAGACTCATCATGAGGCTGTTTCCATTATCTAGACTTTTATAGGATTGCTGAAAACCCCCTGACAATAACCATATGAGTAGTGCGTTACGTCTAGATAATGTACGGCAATATCTCGAATATCGTACCAAATGAAACACGAGGTGACCTAGTGCAGTATATTCAGTTGAAGATCATCATGGATTCAGTACATTTTGTCTTTTGACAAAGGTGTCTTGAGACAAAGGTGTTTTGAATGGATCAGATTATTGAGTGAATTGTTAGATGACTTCAAAAATGTCTCCAAACTCATCAAAACGAATTGCTTACACTGTACCTATGCCTGGAACGCGTACCCGCTTATAGTACCGAATGACCTTATCTTGGTAAAGACAACATATATTCGTAGTACACTAATCATAGGGTTGCTGAAGATTCTCCGACAGCCCATGACCTTCTTGGGGTTCATCAGGTAGGCGCTGTCCCCAAGTTTCCAGGTAGGCGCTTATCTGATGAACCCCAGGAAGGGTGAAATCAATCGTGACTGTCAGAGGAATTTTGGCAACCTTACGAGTGGCGTCTTACGTCTATCTGGGTATCGCAATATCCCGAATATCGTACCAACTGAAACATGAGGCGGCCTGCTGCAGCACATTCAGTTGCTTAGAAACGTCATAAACGAGAGATTCAGCTAGGGTCCAGGTGAGTCTCCCACAAAACTAAAGTTGCTTGCAAAGGAGTGTATTTTGCTAACAACATCTATTTACTTTTTTGCTTATGGGGTTCTAAAATAAGTATCGCTGGACGTTACTTTGCAGTTTGTGTCTTGAGTGAGTTGTAAGCATTTCTACCTCTAACGGGCAGAATTTTCATAACACACTTTATTAAATTTCTTTCCAGACGAAAATCTGACTCTTTCATTGTTGCCATTGCAAACCTTGGTTAAATCGTGGTGAGTGGTTTTGGTGAAGTTTAAGAAAACAAGAAATGCTAAGGATTCCTTTCGACCCGCGAATTCAGATGAGTACGTATTCAGAACGATTATACACTTGGCTAAAGTGCATTTCCGGTCCAGCTTGCTCCCTCTTCATTTGCACTGGCGGTACACGGTACATGGGACACACAAATAGGCATTTGTTTGAGCTGATCCACTCCACAAAACCACCGGGAGGGTTATTAACAAGTTCTGGGAAGTGGCCATCGTTTGGACTGCTTCGATGGGTTAAAACTCGTCACTTGAAGATTAAATGATACAGAGAGGGTTTCTGAAACCCGGTTTTATCCATTCCAATGCTTCTGGGGTTCTCAAGTTAGAAATATGGAAACACAAACGGTTATCTTAACCACTGTTATCGCCATGGCCTAGTAAAGAGAATTGGAAGGAATTTTTTGTTTCTGGTTGGGTTTTCCAGTTTCAGTTTGTACAACTTTCGAGAGTTCGAATTATGTTATGTCGAGACCAGTCAACGTATACACTACCGAAAACTCTTCGACAGCCCATGATCCGTTTCACCCTTCAACTTCAGGCCCATTAGGTGGGCACAGTCCCAAAGTTTCCATCAACCATATGTGCTACTCTAACCCAAAGTGTACGAAACTCAACTAATACACTCATTTGCATGCGAATACCACGGGAGACTCAACTGGAATATGGTACCAACAGAAACATAGGGTGGCCTGGTCTAGCACATTCGGCTGAAGAACATCATAATCGAAAGATTCCGGGTGAGTCTCTCGTTAAAACCAAACTTATATGCAGATGAGCGTATAATCCGTCGAGTGGGCCGCTCAACCCCACACCGTCAATGTCACCTCGATTCGTGATGAAAAGTTTGCAGTCCAACTGCCAAGCTCGGCGAACGAACCAACAACCAATGAGGTCACTTATTTGTTTTTGGACAGCTTAAATTTTAGCATTCCGCTAATGTGAATACAACTAGCCGATAGGCCTTCAACACAGATTTACTGGTTGGGAGACCTGAAACCGCGTGGTACGCAGGTGTTGAACTACCGGTGCTCAATCGGCACAAATCGGATTGATGAGAGTGTAGCTGCTTTGAGATGATCTGAAAGCGCGGACTTTTGGCAAATTGGACAACGTAAATATCGGTCAGTGTGATGGGAACAAATCAACCTCAGTGTGGCCAAAAACAAAGAGGTCCTTGTTTTTTGTTATTTGGTAGCACCAAATATCGATCGTACTTTTCTGCTTAGAGTTTGATCTAGGAAATCCTCTAACGTGTTCCCTAGCGAAAAATATCTAGCAGAATTGAAAAGCGGATAAAATTGTATATTCACCATAAAGTGTACAAATAAATGTCTGTTTCTGTCAGTCGATATAATGTGGTTCATAACCGCATTTGAGCTTCAGTGATTTCACCAGAAAATTTTCTGGTTTTGTATCTTCTCCCTCTGAATCCGGCGCCTGTCTTGTTCTTGCAACCCCGTGATGAATCTCGTGGATAGAATCTAGAATTACCCGCGAAGCTCAACGTAACCGCAGCAGAGCACACAAAAGTAGTATCCAGAATATTCCCTTGAAGTTGTCCGTATACGTTTCTGGCTCATTTCGCCGCGACCAAGGCCCCTGGAACCAATCAAAAAAGTTATTGGGCGAATTCGTAGAAAAGGACTGTACAGTACAGCGAAGCGTTTGCATTCAACAAGATATACGGACATGCCAACGACATGATGCGAATGCCAATTTTTCGAATGGCATTGCCATTCAAGACACTAGGTTCCAAACGGTCGGATGAGGTTAGGGGACTCTGTAAGGATGCTACCAACTGCAAAATCGATGAAAACTGATTTCTGTGAAAGAAAATAAACAAATTAAGATCGCCTATGGTTGAGAAACGCGTAATTAACAGAGCTATATTATGATTTTGTCCTAATTTTCACAGTGGTTCGGGCAACTTTTCACGCTACAAATGTTGGTTTACACTCGCGGCTTGTAAGAACACCCAGGTGTTCCAATGAGAATACTCCGATTGATATCTTCAGGTCACCCGATTGAGAAGTCAGATGAAGAGTTGGGTTACCGTGTTTGACTAAAGTAATAAACTTTTCGAAATGCTCATTCCATGTACCATTCAACGCCTGCAAATCGTAGGAGAGCTCTCAGCAGTTGACCAGTACGAACGACACTAAGGGAGCCAAGTTCACATAGCCGGAGAGCAGTTCAGTAACATCTACACACGCATCCAATGCAAGGAAATACATTAATTTAGAAAAGTAGAGGCTAGTAATGTTAGAGTGACATGAATCGATGCAATCCAATTGTTTTTATCGCGTTGACCTGCCTGAATACTGTTTGGTTTAAATACAGCCACGGACCAGACAGAATGGCTAGACCTGTTTCATCCACTTTTTTGATTCGTGTGTTGGTGATGGCTGAATAAATGAGGGTTTGAATCTCACACCCAAAGACATTCAATTGAATAAGGTACTCGTAATTCTACTCAGCTAAGTTGTCCTCGGTGAAACATAAGCCCAGTACAGAGTGCGTTCCAAATAAACCCAAATATTATAAGGAAATAGTGAATAATGCAGATAAGTTGTTGTTTCTTCCCTCTATACATGTGTTGAACATTTCATTTTTATTATTAGGGCAGATGAATACAGGTTACCTGAGACCAACTTCAGCGCTAGCTTAGGTTTTCTAGTTTTTCGAAAGGTTTGCGTCAGCGTACTTCACTCTCATTGGAAAATTCGAACGGAACCCTTGGTTAGTTAGCAAAACGTTGAGGCCATCTAACCCCTGATCTGAGTCACTGATTAGTTTGTTCTCCAGCCTGTTCCAGCCGGATACTGTTGGGTGGATTTCTAATAACACACGGCTCAGTCTCTATCAGGTTCGTAGAAAAAGTCACTGCGTCATGCGGAACAAATCGTTAAAAAACATTGGAGCATGGCGATCCAGGCCAAGAGTACCGAAGACGTGTTACTTTAAGACAGTTTCAGTTTGTAGTGTCCATATGCATTTTTTCACGTCGGTTTTGTGGATAGACTATCTCAGAAACCAGCCGACAGTGGTACTCCAAGTAACTAAGTTTAACCTGGTTAGGAATATGCTGTCGTTAGCAAGATTGATCAAAACGAGGATCGCCCAATTCGTCACGTAACCATTTGAACAAAAGCTAGTTCCAACCAAATTTATCAAGTGTCTCCCGACAGTGGCAAGTAACTAAGTTTAACCTGGTTAGGAATATGCTGTCGTTAGCAAGATTGATCAAAACGAGGATCGCCCAATTCGTCACGTAACCATTTGAACAAAAGCTAGTTCCAACCAAATTTATCAAGTGTCTCGTACCGTGGTTTTGCAGCAGTCGTCAGGCGCCGTGCACCTAGCATCTAATTCAGGACTATTACATGTAAACAATGTCGGAACATGGAGGTCAGTGACAGGTAAATTGGGAGTGCGATGAAAGCCGATAAAAAAAGTAGTCTAGTTGCAAGTAGCAGGGATGAAAATTGATTTTTTCGGAAGAAGTTAGGATTTTAAACACAACAGTACTGTCAGTGTGAGACAAAGGCTTAAAATGCAGTGAAAAATCCCAATAGAGTCAATGACTTACTGAGAAGGAATCTTCTGTCTGGATTTCCAAGCTTAGATTATGCCCGTAGACATGAAGCGCAACGTCCAAGGCTCCCCGTACTTTCGAATCAATGTTGTAGCTCTCATTGACCTCATCACCAATTTCAGCTAGTTCTTGTGCAACCTGTTTAATCGTATTCCACGTGTTCACCCGTCTGTTTCCATCCATTTGGAAAAAATGTTGCCAGGAAACTGAAGAAGAAGAAGCAGAATGTTTGCTCAGGTTGCACTGAAGGACGTCCCTCACATTCGTGCTATCATGGTTAATCGACTGTCGCATCTCGTGATCACTAAAAACACCAGTCTTCCACAGATTGGTCCCATCAGATACGAATATGTCGTGCCCTTTGGTGTGACCTAGACTAACGCGACCTGTCTCTATCAGTTGCGGTCAGCCAATCAGTACTGTGGAACGGCAAAGCGAGGGGATCGATCAACTATGGACATCGCTGATCGATTTATTTTAGCATGTGCTACTTTTGAAAAGTTACGCAGAATAAAGGTTATTCTTAGCTGAAGTGGATCGATAAGTTTTGGTTATCCGTGTGCTCTTATTCATTACACCGCTTTTAGCTAGAAATAAGAGATCAACTTGATACAAGGGTGGGAGTTTTCTCAAGAATTAGAGCAGATAAATACCCTCCTATGTAGGCACTCGGACTGTGTTTTCTTCAGAAGCAAAAGTGAGATTCAAGTAGTCATTTTGGTTATCAAATGCCCAGAGCTTTGCGTGCTTTGAGAAGAAAAGGTGGTAAGATGCGGCAATACCCCTAATATTTGTAGTTAGATGGTTGCTGATTAGCGAGTTCTAACTATTTCACATCTCTTTTCGCCAAGGAATTTATGAGCAACAATTCAGAGCAAAGAGAGTAATACGGTAAAAAAGACGAAACATGCAAAACTTTTAAGTGCGTGGCGCCGGTAATGAAATGAACCTCACAAAACCCCATAATTTACCTGTCTTTCTTCCGAAATCAAGAAAATTACAAACAATCATTCCCTTACAATGCCTGATGTGTCCTTATTATAAAGTCCTCAGAGAAATAAACGGACAATTCAACTGAGAGGGACTTTTTATCAATAACACTATCAGATGTATTTCAAGTGTTGATTTAGAATAAATTAAGGGCTACCGATTTCAACTTATGAAATACACCGGATAATATATATGAAAAGTTAATGGCAGTTCACTAATGGCATTTATACAAATTCATCAGATAATTTTCTAACGAGCAGTCAATATCTAACGCTCGGGAAGAACAGTGCTGGTTGTTTTCGTCCTTCCATTTATGAACTAATCATAGTGTTTGTTCGGAGTTACATCGAGGAAAAAGTTTGGCTGGTCAAAAACAATACCAAACAAATTAGACCAAAGTTCCTTATGGTGGATGCTAGAAGCTTTCTGAGACTTACTGAAACTCACGTGACAGCACCAAGCAGAGTGAGTTACGGGATTCTCAGTACATAATTTATACTGGTGCGCTTAATTTTCACAGAGGATACCTGCACCCCTGCTTCTCCATCTGGATGTACGTATATTGAAAGGGGTAGAGGGAAGTAGGAAGCAAGTAGGGAGCAGGTTTTTCTATGAATGGGTAAGAAGTGGATGGGAAAAATAACCTTTTCGACCAATCACGTTGGAGGTATTACAAACTTCACTGGCGAAGCGGACACACGCACGCGCATCTCTTCACTTCATCTGTGCATTCACTGAGAAAGGCGTGATAAAGATTGGAACAAAGGTAGTTTGACGGTTAAGTCCAGAAACGCACAGCAATCTTTGCGGATATGAAAGAAAAACGTCCGGAGATGTACATATAAAGGACAAAATACCAAGGAATTTGGCTACTCGAGAAAATAGTGTATCTGTTCTTAATAGTGCGTCCAACAAGCAATCGAACCGATACAAGCTAGTCAGTTGTGTTTGGTAATTATGTTTGTATGTGCAGATAAACCGATTGTGACACATTGCGGGAAAAGTTCAGTTAAACTCGATGTGGGAAAACAGTTTGTGTGGTTTTGCAACCCACTTTGCTTTATTAGGGCTGTTCACATGCCCCCCACCCCCGATACATCTTCGTCTTCCCACCGCCAGGAAAATTTCATTTCGTCTGTATTCTGACGTTTCTTGGAAAATCACTGAAATTATTCACTTGATAGGAGTCCTCAAGTTTTTCAGTGGAAATTCAGACATGACTTGATGACAAGATTATATGCCCTGAGAATTGTGAGGATCTCCATGTTTCCATGAGACTTGTAAACAACCATTAGAACCGTCAACACTTCAAGTCAAGTCACCTTTAGATTTTGACCAAGAGGGTGGATTCTCTATATCCCGGATTTTCAAATTTGAATAAGTTATTGACATAAAAGTCGGGAAGTTTAAGGCCATCAAGGCGACTGAGACGTAGAGAACTTCTAACGCGGTTACACTAAACTAATAAATCAATAGTTTCTGGATTATGCAACTGTTTCAACAGACCCATGAGTCCAATATTCGCAGGGAATGAAAGGATATTTTTGTGATAGAAACTCACTTTTAACCTAAGTTGGTGTTGACATGAGACTTAACCGAGCTTTGCCCCAGTAACTAGTTTATGATAGTACTAGACTGAATATACGACAATAAAGGCTTATACATGTTTCACCATGAGTGATTCAAGGTATTTGCATAATACACTACTCATACGGTTGCTGAAAACTTCCACAGCCCACCAGCGGTAGCGTGTTACTATGTATTGCGATATCTCGGATGTCGGACCAAATAAAACATGAAGGGGCCTGATGCGAAACATTTGGTTGCACACTATAAACGGGCGACCAAGCTGGGTCCCAAGTGAGTCACTCGTCAAAACCCAACCGGTATGCAGATGGGTGTATAAGTCAAAGATCCAAGATATTGTTTTGCAGCCAATGACTACTGAAACACTTCGACAAAGGAGTTTGGAATATCGCTGAGGACTCTTTTTCACTCGCTATAGAGAAGATCAAGCACATTCGATAAGTAGTAAGGGCAAATCCTTTTTGAGGTTATTAGTTTACTCGGTAAGTATCATATGCTGCACATAGTAACAAGGGCCAAGGTGACATAAAGGATGAAAGCTATCAAGGGACCTCTCAATATTACCAGGTGGAAAATTATGCTGCACCGAAGTTCAGATGAAGTAAATAAGATTTTTTGGCTGGGTTGACAGAGAATAAAGAAACACTTTAGTGAAAAAAATGAAAATACTATCAAATATTGGCGAAATACACTCATTTGCAAACAAATTTGGTTTTGCGAGAGACTCACCTGGAACCTAGCTGAATCTCTCGTTTTTGATGTTTCCAAATATTATTTATTAAATTGGATGTTCCGTAGTTATTGCATGAATGAAGCAACTCGGAGGTAGAATTGATGACAGTAACCACGGTTTATCGGTAGACGCTCGTAGCTGGATGAAAAATTTCAAGTTGGACCTTGTGAAAAGCCCACAATCTCAAAGATCATGTTGTCCATTAATCATTTCTTTTCAAGTATTTCTGAGGGTGACCAAGGCGCAGCGTGATGCCCATGCATTTTATTCTGGCTACGGAGGAAGTGATATGCACCTGCTGTTTACCTTACTCGATTGTTTCCTCACCTGCTCCGGGCGCATGTCAAATTCAAGCTAATTTTATACCTAGTTTGTTAGGTCGTTTTTCACGAAACACAAACACATTTTTCAATTGTGTGGCCAAACAAAACGCTGAGAAGCAACTCAAGTAGTGGCCACATGAAACTTGTCAAAATTTGTTTTATGACTCACACAAACTGCGTGCATCTCAAACTTTAACACTTGAGTGGACCGATAAAGCTGGTGCAGTAATTAAGACTGTGCATAGTGTTTGGCTTTCTCATGATGGTTTAGGATCTATGGTGAGACCGGAGTTGTACAATACTCGGGAGGCTTCAAATTTGGGGTTCATGTAGTTTGAGAAGAATGTTAGGTGTATCGTTTCAGAGGTGTTTGGTAAACAATCTGTGGATATATTGCTGGGTAACGTTTCGCTTTTGACACAAAAGCTTCGTCAGGCCAAGTGAGTAAGTAGGTTGATTGGATTTTAAGGCGGTCAGGGAACCAATCCTTACGATTCCTTATGACTAGTGACGTGATCAGTGCTGACAGTCTAATGTTCCTGTTTGTTGATTAGTGGGGATGACTAACATTTACCATAGATTGGTTAGGGGGAGGATTTGTCTTCATGATGAACCCAGATTTTTCGTCCTTGATTTTTCTGTCTAGAACACCTTAATGGAAGCTGGGACAATTGGTTTGGAGTGGGGTGGTGAATTGGATCTAACTCTACTTGGATTTTGTACTTTTATACCCAGGCCATTTCGTTGATAACTGCACGCCGCTTCGTGTCATCTCGGTTAATCTAAGACCGCTCTCCACACGTTTGCAAGTTCTACCCTTCTATTCTATTAACACTGGGATGCTTGGCGATTTCCACCGCCTCGGCCACCAGTAGCCGTGGTGTGAACCTTAAACCCTGTCTCAGGATGTCCACATCCTATAAATCTATCCTATACCCAGTGTCTAGTGCATGCCCTGCCAATGCCGAATCTTTAACTATCGCCTGGTATTCATCTGCGTCTCTCGGTGGTTTGCTAATGGAACGCTTATGCTCACCGATTCTGGTGTGCAATTCCCTGACTGTCTGGCCTATGTAAACCTTCGTACAGTCGTTGCATTTTATTTTCCATACACAGTTCCTAGTCCTATCAAGCGTAAGGCGATCCTTCGAATGCACCAACGTCGAGCGTAAAGTCTTCCCCTTCTGGAAAACTACTCTAATGTTAGCCGTATTCAGTAACCGTCTAATGACTTAAGATGTCCCTGTTTTGTATGGAATGACCGCTGTTCCGATCCACTCTTTTTTGGGCCTTGGTGTTGGCACCAACACCCGTCTTAGTTGCCGCTTAATTAAATCCATTGGGTATCCGCTATCTTGAATTCGCTTTTTACCTCAAGTTGTGCTGCTCTTCGGTCGACCTCCTCTGTACACAGTGCTCTCACTCTCCTAAATATCGCTGAAGCTATGCTAGCATATGCTGCTTTTGGATGTGCGAAGGAGTAGTTTAAGACCGCAAAGCTATCTGTAGATTTCCGGTTGAGAAGAATGTGAGGTGTAGTTAGGGTATTTTAAAAAGTCTTGGATCCGCAATGGTTTATTCTGTTAACCAGCTACTAGAAAAAGCACGCTGTGTTCGGGTTAAGATAATCTGAAATATTGAACGTTTAATAGTTGTACTGGTTGATCTACCTACAAAATGGATCAGAAATCTTGAATTTCCTACGATATCTACAGTGGTATACATGACACAGTATGCGGTTGCTGACCAAATAGCACAGTAATCAGCTGTCAATGCAGTAAGCCGGGAGTTAGCTTCCGAGATAGCTTGTTCCATCGTTTGCGAGAAGACCCTACTGTACGGGGGACTTTTTCTTGGTGACAGGACAGCCTTACAGACCCGGTCCTTATATATCGTTTCGAGTTAGCATGTGCGGGTTAGTTTATTGAGCGTACCTTAGTTACAGAATCGCTCCGCTTTTCTGTTTATTGATTTGAAACGAAATTTCTGATCGAACTGTCTCACTGAGTTGCAACAAACTGATGTGGCTCCGTTGAACATAGTAGGCATCGTGCTCGTCTTAAGATATTTATTTCCGTTTTCGGGTCTTCTGAGAGTACCTTCTGGTGTGAAATTGTAGGGGTTTTGATGCGACTTTCTCCAAGAGGTGAGGTATCTCACAAGCTGCTTATTAAGTGGGTGATGGCTTCATGAGGCCTTCATGTACGGAAGCATGCGCAACTTGACTAAAAGAGTGATATGAATGAATAGTTTAGTTTGCAGTCAAACCGAGGTTGGAAAAAGGAAAAATACAGCTTAGATTAGAATGATTAAGTCTTTAGCAGTAAAAAATATGTATTGAGCAAATTATTCAACTTAGTTTGAATCATGTAACTTAGAACTCGGGTTAGTTCTAATTAATTTCACTGTCCAACAAAAATAGCTGTAACTTTCTCTACCGATATCCGTTTTCTCCAAAATTTCGCAAAATTTGACTCTGAATAGAAGGCACATGCCTCTGGTCATACTGTTAGGTGAAAGTGGAGGGGAACAAGCTCAGTGTTGAACAGAAATTGCCCCACTCCCAGTTGTCTCGAAATTCATTCGTGGATGGAGATGCATTTTGGATCAAGTCCCATTTTTCCGATAGCGTATTGACACTTTTTTGATAAATAGAAAGCACCCATACAAGAACATCATTGTAGTCGTAGCGTCCACTCAGCCATATTTTGTGCGACAAGCGTATTGCACCTTCAAGTGCTACTGATATAAGTAGCCATAAATTTGGAAGACAATCCAGAAACCTCCACCCCCAAATAAGCTAGATCCCACTATAAGAAGTCTATTCGTAGCACGTGGATCGTTTCATCATAATAAACAAAAATGGTTTCTTTTCGCCACTTTCGACGCTGGTTAGTATCAGATACTGACTCTTCATACGACAGCTTGTGCTAAATCTGAGCAGATAGCCAAGACACTGGTCAGGAGTAGATTGGCTTCAGCTGTAGTGATAGAGCTACGTATCACTCGCAAAAACAATCATTTTCTGCAGCGAATATTTGCTTGTTTTGCTTACAGGTCTCATAGATAAACCTAAATTCACACCAGAGTATCTTTCTTAAGCGAGCGTCTTAGGCTGCGTGTTGAGGCAACAACCTAGGTTTGCTACCTGTGTTCTGGATACAAACCTACTCGTAGTGCGAGCTACATATATGAATATATATATATAAAATATATACGCCTGAATATATATATATATATATATGTATATGTATATATGTATGCATATATATATATATATATGCCTACGTATGTCGTCAATCATACGTATTTTTTCGGCAACCGACTTGCTGTAATCCAAATACGTAGCGAGGAAACCGTTAGGGAGATATTTAAAACATGGCAGAAGAGTAATTCTACCCATCTGGTAGACAGTATGGTGTATTACCTACCTTTGGTTTTTTAACTCGCCAGTATGCAACATTAAGATCTGGTTTGTCGAAGTTCTGGTAAACTGCAAGGTACTGAGCCTGTTTAACCGAAATATCTTCCTGCCAAGTACTTGAATCGCTGAGGTGAGGGTCCTATGCAGCTGTGAAAAAAAATAAACTGATGGTGAACGTTAAGTAGGGTTCAAAACCGTGGAAGTGGAAGTTTGAGTGATAAAATGTCATAAAGGGGACCTGTTTTTCCCAAGAGCAAGGGACACGAACCGGATTCTTGCGTTGGTCACAGACGCATGATGAGAGGCGTAGGATGAACAAAACTCGGTTGCACACTTGAATGATACGGGGAAGGATTAGCAGAAGGTACCTTTGATGAACGTGCTTCATTGTAGTACCAGACAGGCGTGGATGCCAAGCCCCGGTGGTGACCAAATGTTCCTGGTGATTGAGTATGAAAGGAGGACTACTGGGGTGCAGTAAAAAAAAACGAACCTCATCCCAGACATTAGTTTGCGGTTCTAACCATACAAGGATGATAGTATAAATCATGTTGATGTTTATAACCTTAGGATTGCCCTTTCACTCTCTCCAATGGTCACTACTCGCAACTTTCACAGAACATACACATTACCTAACCAAATAACCAGAATCATATTGCCCGGCAGACTGTCACTTCGTGAAGTTGTGAGTGAAATTGGCGTTAACTTGAGACTCAACGGAATGTTAACCGAATAGCTGGTTTATGGAAATATTCAAATGTACGCGCTCTAAGAAGACAGCCTCATTTTTCATGTCATTCAATATTGTGAATATTTTCCTTGACCAAAAACTACTTACGTACTAAGTTCATTCGCTTATTAACACCAATTCGATCTGCGAATTAGTGTATTTTGCTCGTGGCGAGATTAATGAAAACCAGAGGACTACACCTACAAAGTGAGACTCAAGAAGGACACAAATTGTATCGGGATGTCGCGGAGTATTCAGTAACCTTTGGGAATGGTGTTGGGTGGAGAATTTATCAATTTCTCCTGACCTTTCTGGCATCCGTGTAGTCTATCCTGTTCTTGGTAGTGATGTCACGTAGCTCTATCCCACAATACAGACGTGTTGTGTTTCGCCGTTGACCAATAATTCATTAAATACAAGAAGCCTCTTACTATTGGGGGTACTGGAGCTCGCATGACGCTCCTTATCTGCCCCAGTTACTCGGCAAATTTTGAACCAATCTTTTGCATGAGTCTGGTTTGTGGGTAAATCAACTTTCGCTGACGATATGCACTACATTAAGCTGAGCGACGGGTGTTCCCATTTGTCGCCTGTTAACTGCCGGAAGGGTGATTCAACCCAAGATCATTCAAAAGCACCTTCAATAAACCGGAACGAAGAATTCATCTCAAGGCTGCAATAAAAGTTCGGCTTCACTTACAAATTCCTCCAAAGCCAATGATGTTTCGTGTCGGCTCAAGTTCACTAACTAAAACATATTCCCCTACGACAGCAGCAATGCATGGTGAGCAATATACGAATCCTATTGGATAACACCACATTATTGTTCAATCACGTGCAGAATGACACCGTAAGAAGCAGAACACGAGAAATTTCCATCTCGGGTATTTCTGTGTGAGAGATTCTACAGATCAACACTGGCTTAATTGCTTGTAACCAGCAAGCTATGCTAAACCACCCGTGTGCGGGCTGTCAAAAACGCATAGATCTTCTGTATTTTTGCATTTTGTTGTCTGAATCTCCATATTTGTTCAATGGTTGGTTGACAAAATCAATCCAGTGGTCCTATTAGTAGGTTACATCCCTATCTGTACGTCCTATACAGTCTACCTAAAAGTTTCAACTCTGGCTCAACCATACGTGTTGTGAACAGATAAGTGGTGTTGCACTGCGGAGCCCGTTAGTACCGGAGTATTAAGTTCAAGGTAAGATAAAGAAGCCGGTGCTATGCAGATGTTGCTTGGACGATACGTTCACTACCTGCACTAATGATGTCCGGATATAATTTTATTATTCACTATACATGGATTACAATCGTTAAAAATTTGCGGTAGACGTCGAGAAAGAAGATAGAATAGGATTTCCTGATCGGCTTTCAACTAAGCAACACAGTGGGTTGTTGATTCATATCATTTTCAAGAAAACCACTTGTAGGGAGCAATATTCGGGCAGTGGAAATTCTGGGACTATTGAAAGAAAGTGTTTTGGTGAATTCTGTATTCCACATGCTTCGCCGTATCGCCACATATGAGAACAGTGCGCATTAAGTTCAGTTTTCAGAAGTGCACTGGCTAAAGACACGTGTTTGTTGAGGTCCTCAAAGGAATATCACAACATTTCCTAATCAAACGGCATCCACTTCGGCGATCAGTAAATTACTTTCATTCCAAACGTAATCACTCCCGAGATGCCTATTTATCCATCAGTTTGATTGAATGTGCGGACCCAGAAACATCGGCAAAAATCCAATATGCTCTATGGGAAAGTAACAGTCTTGCCCCTATCGGGTTGCGTTATTAAAAACTAGCTGTTGCTAAGCCGCTTTTAGATAGTAGCCACGTTGTGCACTCGAAATGCCTTTCACATGCAAAAACAGGAGGCAAGTTCGTATTCCTGTGACAGAAGCAACCCCCTTTTAAAACCTTATCCTTATACACACAGGCAGTTGAAAACTGACATTTCAGTGGCTCGGAAACTCCCAGTTGGTGTTCACTATTTTACGGCTTATTTTGTTCTATTGTCTAACTTCACCAGGTTGTCATAGCAGTCTGCTTTCTATTTTCCGCCACCACCAAAACATGACCAGTCGGTTTCACTTGTCCATATGACATCACGTGCTCTGCTTTGGTCATGCTACCCGCTGTGGTCACGCGCTCCAAAACCATCACATGACATGATCATGTCAACGTCTGTCATACTTCCGCCTCTCAGTGGCCATCCAACTTAGTATCGTGGACTGTGACTGAACTTTTCCCGTGCGAGAAATCGCGTTCCTTAAATTGGCCTTTTTTAGTTTTATTCACCGAAAGGCGACTGGTCCTGCTTACATCCACCGTATGCCTCATGACGTACAGCACTAGGTTCTGGCACGCTTTGCTTATACTGACGGAATGTGTGCTAGTTTTCCATATTATTTACTGTAAAGCTCCACATTTGCGCAGCAGTTCTTTCGCTATTCCTATGGCATACACGTCGTTTTGGTGGAAGATTTCTGCACTTGATACGAATTCGTAAGGACTGCAGCATCATCAAAATATACAACAAACACTTATGGACTATATGCTGTCCATAGGTATTACCCTTGAACAGAGGGTATTTGGATAGTTCCTGTGAATATGCTGATACTTCATTATAACAACTAGCAGTCGCCAAATTAGCCGACATCACTTTTCGCCTCTTCTCTGTTCTGGACTGACTACTGACCAGTTACGGAACATAACCCATCGTCTCTTTCGTCCTCCGTGTGATACACTTATTGAAGCCCATGCTCAGGCTAAGCTGGGCCCCAAACATGACGACCTTTGTGGTTGGTTGCACAATATGTGCAAGAAAACTTGGCCAGATCCAAAGGAAAATAATCCGGTTGAAATATCAGCCTATCATACACACACTGCTTAAAGTCAATTTCTATCAACTTTACAGCTGTAATTATGTTTGACAGTTTTATCTACACACTGCCAACTAGTGGCTTAACATGTCGATCTATGAATTTGTGAGTTGAACGATGATACCTCACAGAATTAGTTCAAATTTAGTCCTACTTTCCAGGTATCATTTCAAAACTGAACCCTGAGTGTAGTTTCCGGTTTCCGGCTGTGCATTCGGTCAAGGGCGCAAACATTATTGCACAATTGCATTTTGAAAAGCCTATTTTAAAAGCGGGAATGACTTTCTCCAACTAGGCCGCCTCTCGCAGTTAGGAATTTTCGATGCATGTTGATTCCCTTCATTTGCACATCCGCTCGTGGCTTATATTTGTGGGGTCTTTACCATCGGTTTATGTTTTTCATCACCTATCTTTTCTTATTCGTTCAACACACCTTAACGAATGGAACAATTTTTGCAAAAAAGTAACATGAGAGAACATGTGTAGAGCTTTTAGAAGCACCAAAGCCAATTTACACGAAAGGTAATACCTACAGATTTCACCACCTACCGGTTTGGATTAGTGAGTTGAATGTAAACAAGGTGGGGAACCACTAGTTAGATTATGTAAGATAAAAGTTAAAATGGTTGCACTACATACCAGATAGGATTATTAAGGGTTTTTCGCAAAGTGCCTCTTTACCAGTAGTTTCAAGATGTGGTCAGGGCAGGTGTGTCTCGTGTTCGGAGGGCGCTGGAAGTCCCTTTTGGACGGTAAACAAATTACTGTCATCATTAAATGTCATTGTACTCCGGAACAAGCTATAGGAGGCAGGTGTGCCCTAGATTAATATCCGCGTATAGCCAGGAACGTGGAATTTGAAACACGACCCTTTGCACACTTTTATGTATTTTCCCCACCCACATCTCCCGAATATGTTGATCGTGTATGCATGTAAGCAGCTCAAAAGGTGAAACAGAGCTATTAGCAAAATAGACCAGCAGTTACCGGGGCCAGAGCATGAGTCGCGTTTTACACTAAGGGGGGGACATGAGAAAAGCTTAAGAGCTTTGAAAAGATTAGTGCAAGTTTAGACAGAAGATTGAAGGTCCACAATATATATGCCACCTTTCGACTTCGTGTCAATAACTGACAAAAAGGTAGGGTGAATAAACCAAGTGAATGATATCAAAAACACTAATAGTAACACCAGATGAGAACAATGGTGATCCACTGCCGTATAACCATGTCAATTTATTTAAATAAATAAAATGGAGAAAGAAATGGGCCAGTGCGGGAGGCCTAGAGCCAATCTACAGTAAACATCCGGGGTCCCTTCATCTTTAACATCCAGTCAGACAATCCGGATAGAATCTGACAACATGAGCGCTACTGACATCTGCCATTCGCCAGACTTGGGTGAATCTGGAAGGTATTAAATTAAGAAGTCGGTCAACTTTCTCTTCTTCCCAACTGGCGTGCATCTAGACTTCTGGAAGGTCCAAACTTAAGAACGAAGGCTGAAATCTCCCCGCCACAGTACAAAACAAACGACTTCCGGTTGCTGCTGTCAATAGTTGGACTGCCTTTCGTGCAATGGACTTATCTCTAAATTTGTCCACCGCAGACGAGCAGGTGTCACATGCGGCAGCGTGGGCAGCTCCTGTCAATGGACAGAACAGCGTCACACGACGCACATACATCGCTGCCATCACAGACACGTGAAGTCACCCCACCCGGCAAAGATAGTTACAGTGGCCTGAAAAGTGGATATGAACTGATTCGTTTCCTGAGAAAGTATAACAGTGAATTTTCCAACAAAACTAAGAGATAACTTAAGGCAATCACCTAAAAGATAGCTGCTGAAAACTGTCACAACTGTTCCAAGTCACTGGACAGGTACCCCAGAGTATATAATGTGAGGAGGAATGAGTCTTTTGAAGGGTGCTTGTGTGAAATAAAACAGATTCGTAGAACCAATGGAAAAATAAAACAAAATAATATGGAGATCTAAATTTAAGGTACATCATAATGGGATAAAGTGCTGCAGTCCAACATATGCAGCTTTTTTCTAGGGGCCTCAGGATCGGTTGAATATGCGATCCACCATCTGTTATGGTGTACGTGCCCCTGGGATCAGCTGTGGTCAGATTAGGCTAGCTTGTTTCTCTGTGTTAACTCTGTATGTATGTACGTGGAGTTTAACTAGGATGCGACTCACTCCACTACTGAGCCGGATGACTTCACTTGTGAGTTTATGTGCGATGGAATCAACACGGTACAATACAGTTGCGAACTCGCAACCAGACTTTTCCTGGGTGGGTGGGATCAATGTTTAAAGTTTGAAATTGAGTAAACGCACCAGATTCAGAGTCATGAATGTAAACAAGACGTGGTACACATGGTGCTTTAGATAATCAGATTGGTGTTCATTTGCTGAGGGACTGGCAGCTCGGAATTTCGAACTGGTACACTACACAAGGAATCTATACATAGGGTAATTTGGCCTCTTCTGTGCAGTGGAATGAAGCTGTTCACACAGTTATATTGGTTGATTGCCTTTCGTTTCGAACTGGAAGTGTGAAATGCAGACATGATGTTTCTTCGTCGACCAAAGGACTACGGGTGAGTAGCACCACAGAATACAACCTTACATTTCAAACTGTTTCTCTGGTACTCCATTGGATCACTGTCGGCCACCCCCACATAAATTTCTAATCCTGTTTCGAACACCAGCAAAGCACATCAGCTACTCCTCGGTCACATCCACTGAGAAGTTAGCGACTTTTCAAAGCAAAATGCATGCCCCCCGCACCACATGCACTAACCTATTAACAATCGAAATATTACATTTAAGCAAGACCGCCACCATAGAGTTACTGCTCATATCCAGCCCTGTCAAACCTTTTTTATGACCTCGATGGAAAGGCTGTCCACGGTGGCTGTGGCACGGTTACAACCACAGAAAATGCGTACCCAACTGGAAGCTATTTCTCATATCACCTAAAATTTGAGGGTGCTTAAAGTCATCACATTTTTATACATAAGTTTCATAAAATCACGGGACAGCTCCAGTTTATTGTCCTTCACCGCGTCCATCCATTTGAGGTGCTTGTTTCCAGCCAAGCTCTTCGACGGTTCCTGTTACTTGTGTCAAAA